AATGCTTTAAAATATTAAATTCATTAAAATCTATGTGATTATTTCATCAAAATTAAAACGCTCAAAACCAGGCCCTAATTTATTATGATAAAAATAATAAAATGATTTTCCAGACATCTTACAGTCCATGTAGGATTCAAATTTTTGAATTTTTTCAACATTTATAATAAAAAAAAAAATACAGAATGAAGACAGTTTAGGATCAAGAGTTGCCAGAGCTACAGTTTATGAGCTCAGCGTTACCAGAGGCAACAGGGGCAATCACATCAGAGATCCCAAGATCACAACCGCGCTCAGAGCTGGAGAGATCTGTAACATTTCCAGTCTGGCAGAATGTGGAAGTTCCGCTGCTTCTTAATTGCGATTCACCATTCCTCAACACCAGAGCGGGAACCATGTCTAACAGCTATTTTAAATAAGCGTGCAGCAAAGGCGTTGCTTTTTTAAACAAGAAAAAGCACACTCCTGCCGCCAGCCATTGTCGCTTAGCCCTCGGAAAGCGCCGACCATTCGTGGCAGTCAGTGGGGGGTGGAGGAGGGTTGGGCGACGATGGAGGCGAGTCAGCCTCCACTGCTGCTGTCTGGGAGCAGATCTGATCTGGCTGTTTGGAGAAGGAAAACCTTCCCAAATCTTCAGAGAGAAAGAGGGAGAGAGAGAGAAACGGCCTGGTTCAAAGCCAGGGAAAGTAGCGCCGCTACCAGAGAGAGCCGACAGAGGCGGATTCAGACATGGCGGGTGAGAGTGACAAGTAGGGGACTGATTAGTGAAGTAAACCACTTGGAGCAGCAGAGGGAATCCCCTGGGTGGAAGATAAGTAAGCAGGAGGAGAGACACTCACAGAGGAAGAGGTAGTAACAGATAGCAGAGATCGGACGGAAAATGGTAGACATTCAAGCACGTTTCACAGACCGTCCTCCTCAGTGACACAGCAGACAGGCTGGAGGGCAAAAAGATTATTCCTTTACTTGCCATCCATGGCCATGTTGCTGCAGCAGCACAATTCATTTAACTAAATGAAACCTGGAGGTGTAGGTATTATTAATTTAGCACAGTGCGCCACAGCAACAGGATAAATAATACAGAAACACAATAGAAGAATAACTCAAAACCACTCGCATTATTATTTTTTCTCACTCTGAGCCGTAGAAACTGACTGACAACAGCTCCACTGGCTGACGGAGCGGACATTACTATCAAGTGTATCCTCAGACACTTCGATGTTATTCACCACCTAAAAACACACAGACATTACCCACACCAAGAACAGAACATTCAGTCCTTCACATAATGTTCTCATGCTTGAAGTTTACTCTCATATTATTAAGTGATCATCTGAACACAGCAGCAGCAGTAGTTTAAATTAAGCAGGTGTTTATTTTTAACACCTGTTTCTCTGATGATCTGTCACGGAGGTGGTGTGTGGGTTGCCTTCCTTTATTTCTACAAACCGAACAGAAACAGAATTCTGCAGCACATCTACATGTTAAGGATGTCAACGTCAAACTAGCATAACACCCGTTTCATACTTTTATGAAAACCTTTCAGTGACCAGTGAAATGTGATGCCCTTGGACCTTATTATGTTGTCGTCCTTTTATTCTTCATTTATCATTCGTATATTTAAGATTTAGTGCATTATTTTGACAACCTGGCAGCTAAAACCAATGGTAGCCATTGTAGGCAATCAGGTGCAGGATAATCGTCACATTGCAACGTTTCTATAGGTGAGAAATTACAAAAGTCAGGGTCGGAAAGCAAAGATTGGATCAAATGTTCAGTGCAAGAAAAGTTAATTCAACAGTAAAACGCCGACAGCTGAGTAAAACGGGTAAAACATTTTTTTCTTTGACATCGTTGAGTTACGGTTCAAAGATGAAAATGCTTTAACTTTTGGAAAACAGCACTGTCCTAAAACAAACATGAAAACAAACCATAAATTGAACGTAGAAATGTAAAATATACAAGTTACTATTTTCAGATTAATTTTACATCACATTAATGGTTTTGAATTGTTTTATAGTTTCCGAATTTTTCCCGTCACAATTTTACTGTTTATTACTGTTAAATATAGAGATATTTCTACTGCGTAAGTCAGAGAGACAGATCAAGAACGTAGATAAACAGAAAGATTAAACCTAACAAAGGCGTCAAGAAGGCACAGTGGAAAGGATTTATAAACACCGTCCTCTTTACAGTGGGGCCCGGCTTTTCCTCATTAAAGACTTTGTAGATTTAATGCAGTCCCTCCACTCTCCAGACCCTCTGGCTGGGGAAAAAAGCCCACTTTGCATAATAGACTGAATCTTTAGGCATTCATTAAGACATTTTGTAGAAGGAATGTGTAAGGAGGAGGGAAACTAGGAACACGAGATGATATAAAAATGTATAGGGATAAAAAAAAGGACTGAAAAGAGGGACAATAAAGCAGCCTGGTTAAGCTGAGAGTTTTTGGGCGCACTACGGCTTCAGAGTTTGTCGGACTGAGTCATCTGCAATTTAAATGAGCTGCTTGACGAAGACCTTGGTGCCACACGGGAGGGGAGAAAAAGGGCTCTGTTGTTCCGAATATTCAGAGCGACAAGTGTACTGGGAGAGGAAACAGAGCTGGAGATGGATGCGGCGATGGGGAGGGAGCCGAGCTGAAGAGTGATGACATTTATGGGAGTGAAGTAGAAAAATGTGGGAGATGAATAAATTTCATCAACACAAGCTTCCTGTTGTTTAGCGTATTAGTTTTACATTAGCACTTCATCCGACAGGATGCACAGATGGGCGGCTTCAGTAGTCATTCACGCATCATGGGCTTCCAAAGAAGTTAAAGATTTGTTTTAAAGGATGTGACAACATTGAATTGTTGGCACTTCTGAACAGAAATGCACTGATGAGTTGGTTATAAAAAAATGTAAAGAATTAGTCTCAAAAACAGCAAAAAAAAAAAAAAAAAGTTTTAAAAATTCTAAATGTATCCATAAGGACAAATTTATGAGTCTGGAAATATTTCTACTTGTAAAAACTAGAGTAAAGGTGTAGAAACAAAAGGTGTGCCGACTAACTCTCTTACTTAGAGTCTTTTCACGCCTGGTGGTTCAGTAGACTCGTTTTGATTAGGGACCAAACTTGAAACATTTGTTACTTTTTCAGCTGGTGCGGTTTGCTTTCACGCTGTATTGGGTCAAATGAACCAAACCCTTTAAAAACCTGTTCCACTCCTCACCTGTGGTGGCGCTGAACTTAGATCTACTTCAGAAAACAACATGAAAACTTCAGGAGAAGACACGAGCGCACGTACCTTCGTCACAAAATGTGAACAACAGTGAAGGGTGGTGAGATTTTAGCGGTTGTATGATTCCACTTTTCTCTTTAGGAAAACTCCAAAAACCACTTCTCCCACCAAAATGTTTATTTTGGTTGTATTTACCCAGAATGCCCTGTGCTATAGTCTGCTTTCTGTTTTTGGCGTTCACATATGCATTCAAAGCGCACCAGAGTTCACTCCAGGGTTTTAAGACGGAAAAGAGTTTGCTTTTTTGGTCCACATCAAAGTTTGATTGGGCATTTCCACCTCCCCAAACAAACCGGACTGGAGTTCTGATAAAGTGGACTAAACAGGGCTAGTGTGAATGGACCCTAAGTTCGCTAAGGATGCCAGCTGTATCAAACATTATTAGCTGATAGTCAGGATAATTCCCAAATGGCACAGGGATGTACTATATTCACTGAAACTTTACCAACCCTAACGCAAAACCCAAAGGTTTGGGGGACTGGACTTTTGGAATAATTATTGGTTTTCTGTTTTAAGTGCATGAAATGAGATCATTTTGATTTTGCTTTTGTAAAATACTGTGAGAATTTCATATCTAGATCTGGAAAACATTCCACAAAGTCCTGTATTATCCATCTCCCACAATGTGTCCAAATACATTTCAATTTTGCGACCTTTTTTTCTTTTTAAATACAAACTAAACTCTTGAAAGTAAACCTTTTAACACCTGCAATGAGGTGTAGGCAGAAAACATGCCTCTTCTAAAGATATGGAGAAACATTGCTTATGACGAGTGAAAATACTTCACCGGTGCTCATTAAGGAGAAGAAGCGAAGGAAAGTAATGTGAAAATGTGAGTGTTTAGGAAAATAACCCATAAATTGATTTCAGAAATGGAAGACTGGAAAAAACTCCATACTGATTGTTGCTGCAATTTAAACTGGGTTCAGCTGTTACACACACACACACACACACACACACACACACACACACACACACACACACTTGGTGTTTAAAAGATGTAGGCATGGCACCTTTCCCACATTATCTAATGAGCTGCTCTCATTAGCAGACATCTTGTTTGATCACTTTCCTTGACAGCTGATACAAGGCATCACATCTTTGCATAAACAGTTGCAAAAGAAAATGTGAACCAAGCTTTAAATGACGGTGAAAAATTCAAATTACTCTGATAGATTCAGCTGTTCCTGCTCTGCGTTCATTTGGAAAGCAAATAAATAAACGAAAAGATGTTTCTTATTTTTTTTATTTATTATTATTTTATGAAGAAAATCTAACATCCAGCTCCTTGACATAAAAAAGCTGAGTTCAGAAACAAAACTTCTGCTCTCTGCCTGTGACTTTGAAATGCTAAACGTTTTCATGAATTATTCTATGAGTTGATATTTTCTTGGACAGCTTTTTGGCTCTGGATATCGCCGTCCCGCGGCTGTTTCTCCCCTCTCAATGCAGAGACATAAAGTGGGAGAGACACGCATGGCACGCAGCGCTCAGAAGGGACACAGGCTGTTCAGAAATAACTCAATTTGGAGTTTTAACTTCAGCTTTCGTGTTCCAGGGAAACTTGCACCTGGGGGTTTAAATCTGATGTTTTTTGAGCTTTACTTTTTTTTTTTTTTTTTTGCTCCACCACAGACAATAATCTATTCAACTACGCAGCCTGTATTTTTCTCCCCCACTCCCAGCCTCCATTGTGTCTTTAAACATGCATCCTCACCGTTTCTCCAGGCTTCCTGGGAATGCCGACGAAGAGGTGGTCCAGAAAGTTGGCGCTGCGTCCGAGGCCCAGCACAGTGTAGGGCAGCTGCAGGGAGAAATGAGCCGACTGGCTCAGCTGACCAGCTGCAGGGAAACACAGACAGAGAAGCAAGAGATGTAGATTTTTATGCGGTTTCTTTCAGAAAGCCGTGAAGCGGCGACTGGGATGAATTCTCCTCACAGGTGCTGCAGGCGTCTATTGAAAGACGGTGAGTCATGCAGACTCGACAATTGTCTGATTTTAACCTGCCGAAACCACGGAGAGAAAACATTTTTTTCTCGTTTAGTGAAATAGCTGAGCAGCTTTTTAACGGATGGAATTTGTTATTTGTGTTTCCATGGCCACCATGAATTATTAACTTGCTCTGCTCTCTAGCCTGTTTCTGATTTTTTGTAAAATAAACTAAAGCTGTACTTGGTTTAGATTAGATCAAACCAGATCTTTGTTAGAATGGCAAAGTCAAAGTTTAGACCAAAATCACATTGGCACCTGCTCACAGATGCTCTCCATCCAAACTATTTTCATATAACAAACAAACATGTCGGTTTTTAGATGTGGAAAGCTGGCAGGGAAATATCCAAAAATAGTAAAAAAAACGACCCCAAAATAACTGAAAACGGCGCCTCTCTTTCCTGCCATTTCCTGATGATGTGCTACTCTGTGTTGGTCTATCAAATCAAATCCCAAAAGAGGGAATAGCAACTTGTAGCTACAATGTGAGAAAATGAGAAAAAGGTCAAGGGGTTTAAATACATCTACAAGGCAGTGTATCAATCAAACTGTTCCCCATGGAGCTGATCAATGTGGAAATGGATCTCATTCAGCAGCATCATTCACACTGCTCTCTGTGCAACTTTCCGTTCTTGATGTTACGTCTTCCTTCCATCAGATCAATCGTCATCCCAACAGCTCTGACCCGAGTCATACATTTTAAAAGACATTGTCCCTGATGCTGAGCAAAATGTATGTATAGCCTTTGAATTTGAGAAAAGATGCAAAATAATTTCTAAAAAATAATTTTGGTAATTCTAACCAAGTTAAAATAAGAAAAGTTCGGTCTGATTTAACTTCATGTTAAACTTCATGTTTGCATCTTTTTATTCGATGTATGTAAATATCTAGTTCCAACCAGATATTTGAGGGAGATGCATTTTAGTTGCATCTCCCTCATGCACCTAAAATGCTTTCAGCTACAAAACACGACGTTGTGAAACAAAGCGAGATATAAATACCTGGAAACAAAAAACAAAAAACCTGAGATCCCGATCTGCTGTTTCATAATCATGTTTTGATCTTAAGGGCGACTGTCTTACAGTGCAACAAACATCCTACCTAACTGAACAATATGAAAAAAAAGAGAAAGTTTTGCTCTAAATAATCATCCTCTATTTAAGTTTTACATGATTTTACATAATGAGACTGATGAGAACCAAACGAGAGACCCTGGATTCTGACGTAGAGAAGGCATCATAAAAGATACAAATCAGCAGGAGACACCTGAGGCCGGCACAACACCTCTTTCCGTCCCGCCCCCAACCTCCCGTTGTCTCTGTTCTCGCCAAACCTTCTGTATTTAGTTTCCTTCTTTCAGCCTGTCCTCATCTCTCCACGTTCCCCCCGCTACATCACTCCGATTTGGCCTTTTACTTTTCCCTCTTTTCATCCCTCCTCGCCGTCTCCTCTCTCGCTCCACTTCAGCTGCTGTATCTCGCCCACGCCACCCAACTCTGCCAAGTGCAGCCGACATAAATCAACCTCTATGTGGTAAACAAAGAGAGGGAAGGAGAGAGGGAAGGGTGGAAGAGGAGAAAGCCTGGAGGCAGCCAGTGATCAGAACTAATGTGGATAGACTGCGTATTGCAGACCATGGGGAGCACAACAGATAGGTTTCTAATCTATGCTTAGCCTCGGTTTAGATGAATAAGGAAAAGAGAGGTTTCTTTCATTTTGGGTCATCTGAATTCGGACCATGTGAGTCCACCTCGGTCTTTGAAGGTCTTAGTTTTTGCCCTTGGTGCTTTACTTAAGTGGAGGCAAACCATTTCGTAATGATGCACTACAAATGTATGCCTACTTTCCACTGGTCAGGTGGAAAGTAGGCATACTTCCACACACACGCACACACATATATATATATATATATATATATATATATATATATATATATATAAAATCAACAACATCAAATAATGTACTTATATGAGTAATTTAGCTCAAAAAATGAAGTCCAGGCCATATATTATAGTGCAATATGATATTTTTCAAGTGTTTATTTCTTAATGAGCTGTTGAGGACACCAGTGTCCTCTTGGACTGACATTTTTCAGAGTGACAGTTAAGAGGCTACGCTTCACAGCTTATGACAACCCCAAATTTGGATTCTCAGGACTTTAATTGAAAAGAACTGCATCTACTGAAACATCCTGTAGAGCAGAGGTTCCCAAACTGTGGGGCGCGCCCCCTAGGGGGATGCCGTGCCATTGCGATGAAAAAAAAAGAAGCCATGAACACTGTATGCGCTGGGTTTTTACCTTAGAATGGCCAACTCTCAGTTATTCCTCTGTCAATTTGATACAGTAGAGGCTTCTGTACTTCCCATATATGTGTCCTCTGTCACTTTTATCAGCAGTTAAAACTGTTTAATCCATTGTTAACATGTGGTAACCTGTTTTTCCGAGCCGCCTTTAAACGCAACATGAGTGCTACAACGCTGGCACTGGGAACCCAGTGCGGCAGTGAAGGAGACCTGCTGCTGCTGTACAGAGCTATGTAGGTGTGTTAGAATCATGGCAGCAAACCAGCAAAATGCAAAGAACTTTTCACAGTTTTTCCCCCAAACTAACCGACTGAGTTGAGTAAAGCTGTTGGATGCAGGTAAAGTTAGCTAAAAGATGACTAGCTAATATCAATACAACACCTTAAGCTTGTTAACAATTAGCTTGTAGGCTACTGGTGTTGTTGTCTATGTTCAGCTATAATTTATTTTGCCCCCAAAAATGTGGATTCCCCCTCCCCCTCCTTTTGTTCGTCTGGAGCCAGGGCTGAGTATAACAGGGAGTCTCTAAGAATCCACTCTCTAACCCCATCTTTGCTTACACACATCGTTCAACCAGACAGCTATTTGTAAGCCATAGGGGGGCCCAGAAATAGTTTGGAAATCACTGGGGGGGCCCATGAGAAAAAGTTTGGGAACCACTGCTGTCGAGTATCTACACTCAGTACTTGGTCAAGGCTCCTTTTGCATGAATTGCTACGTCAGTGAGGCATGGGATGGAGATCAGCCTTTGCTCCTGCTGAGATGTAATAGAAATTTTGATTTTTAGCCACTTGTAGCCATTATTGAACAGCAAACAGACAGGAAAGAGGGTGGAGAGAGAGAGAGAGAAGGGGAGAGACATGAAACCAAAACTGTGAACAACTACATGGAGGACTACTTGCTCTGAACATGGTGTACGTTCTTTCCTGACTAAGTCACTCAGTGCCTCCCAACCCAGGTTGATCTGGCAGTCAAGTGTCCTTGACCACGTCTCAGCTGTTGGATCTGGTGTCTCATCTTCTTCTTGACAACATCTTAAAGACTTTCTAAAAATCAGGTCAGACCAGTTTACAGGCTAATCAAGGACAGTGACACCATGGTCACTGAACCAGCTTTTGGTACCGTTGTCAAAGTGGACAGGTACTGAGCAGAGGAATAACGTCAGCATCGCTGTAAAGATCATCAGCAGATGGAAGCATTAAGTTTTTTATAAAAACCAAAGTCAATATAGCTGTTTACTTGGAAAGTAAACAGCTATATTGTAAACAGCTATATTGACTTTGTTTTTTATAAAACAAAGTGGACCAACACAAGCCAATGACATGATTCCCAAGTCATCACTGACCCCTGGACTTCAAGCAATTGGATTCTGCACCTCTACAGCAGTGGTCTCAAACTCCAGTCCTCAAGGCCCGATGTCCTGAATCTCCTAGATGTCTCTCTGCATCAGCACACAGGGCTCCAATGTTAGCTTGTTAGCAGAGCTCTGAAGAGTTGGACTGGACGATGGTGATGGTAGTTTGCCCTGCAATTGGCGAGTTGCCAGTTCATTCCCCACTCAAGTAATCTCTTTCGTTGTGACACTTCACTCATCTTGCCTGCTTGTAGTGGTCAAATGGTCAGGTGGCACCTGTGCATGGCAGCCCTAGGCAGCTGTGGCTGTGAATGTGTGTGTGAAAGGGAGATTGTAGTGAAGTGCTTTGGAGTCCTCTTGACTTGATAAAGACTTAATTCAAGTGTGTAGGACAAGGGACACATCTAAAAGCTACAGGGACTCTGGCCCTCTAGGACTCCACTTTGAGACCACTGGTCTACTGTCTTCTTTCACAGTTTCTGGATGACTTGATTTCTGAATAAAATGAAAAGTTTACTTTCATATGAAAAGAGGAGTTTGGAGCACTCAGTAACAGTCTATTCCTTTCTCTCTTTTGCCATGGTGAGATATTTCTGACGCTGTCACTGATTTAGGAGCAGCTTAACACAACGGCTGCAGCCCATTCCTTGGATAAGACTGTGTGGTTTCTCTTGAAGCTTTAGCCGCTTTCACAAAAACACTTCGAGGTGGGATTAAAGTGCCTTTTGCCTACTCCGTTTTTATTTTTTATTTTTATGAAAAGACAGACGCAGCACAGGGGTAGAAGTCAACCTTTTTCTGTTACGTGTCTTACTTGCCAAGCAAGGTAGTCAGAGCCCATCACTGGCTGCCCTGCAGAGTGCTGGGTTAGCTCTGTGGGTCGAGGGAGTGATGCAGTCTGTGTGAACACATAGCCACAGGATTTACAAGCCAAAAACCCAGAATAATTTCTGCCAAAAGAAGAAGATTTTGAGAAATATCAGTAAATCCGAAGCATTTGCTCCATCAACAATAAGATTGCCACTTTGAGTTTTTTTTATTTCGTTAGTGTTTTGAAAGGAACGGTGTGGGGAAAAAGAGTGCCGTCCTGCACTGCTGACTTGTTTTTGGATAAATATAGCAGTGTGGGAAATCAACAACTTCACTTGTGATTTATGAAGGACCACCGACAGCTTAAAGGTGGCTTTGTCTTTG